AAATATAAGGAAAAGAGACAGAAAATGTTATGTATAGCTTTTTGTGTATCTGTATATTGTAAAGTGACACGTCTTTGTTTTAATAAAGTTTTCTTTAATTTATTTTTTAATCTCCCTTTTCCTGGTATTCCTGGTAAAACCTTTGTAACCCCCCTTCCATAATTCCTGGATCTGCTACTAATGTATACAAAAATGTTTTTCTTGATTTCAATTTTTAATATTTAAAAAAAAAAAAATCATTCATTTACTCATTCTTTTGTGTGCTTGTTTAATKATCAATTTATTGTTTGATTTTAGATGAATGTTGAATAACAAGTAAASCTGAAGATGGATATGTTCAAGAAGACTACGTTTGTAAGGCTTTGCTATGCATCGGCCTCCATGTTGCCAGAGGAACTTGGACTGTCAACTGAACAGCTGATTCGTCTGTACAAAGAATGCATAGAGATGGCTAAACACTGTAATGATATAAGTACTATGATGGGTTCATGCGTGCAGTTCGTAGAGCATAGCAACAGATTAGGTAGACATGCTGATTCACTGAGGTGTCTGAAGGAAATATTACCGTTAGCTGTAGCAATACCAAGTGATGAGTTAATAGTTCATTCATGTTTGTCCACCACATATAATGAGCTGAACGAGTTTGAAAACGTTGTCTTGCACGCTAAGAAATGGATCGAAATTGCTCAAAGTATAGGCGATAAAGAAAACGAAATCTATGGACATTATAAAATGGGATTTGCATTTTCATCCTTAGCTAGTCATGATGATGCTATTGACTGCTTCAAAAAATGTCTTAAAATTGCCCAGGAAATTGATAGTGCAGAACACATGATGTATGCATATAGCTGCATAATGGTCGCATATGCAGACATGCAGAAATATGATGACACTATCCTGTATGGGCACAAGCTCCTTGATTGCGCCATAAAAAACAACAATCAGGAGGCTATGATGGAGGCGTACCGGTACCTAGGAGTAGCACATCATGCATTGAATCAGTATCAAGAGGCCACCGACTTTGGAAAGAAATGCATTAAAATAGCAAGGGAAATAGAAGAAAGACGTGTTGAAGTCAAGGCTTACTTAGTAATGGGGCAGATATATAACGCTCTTTCCGACTACGACAATGGAATTATCTATTGCAAGAAGTGTATTGAGCTTGCAATATCTATTGGCGATAAAGTAGATGAGGCTAATGCTTATAGATTCCTTAGAGTGATATATTATTACTTGCAGAATTACGATGATGCCATTCAGAATTTCAAGAAATGCATCAACATGGCACAAGAAACTGGTGAGAAAAAGATTGAAGCACAAGCATATCTGGGTCTTGCGTCTGTATACCACACATCAGTTGATAAAGAAAGCATCGATAAAGCCATCAAATGCGGTAAGAAATGCCTGGACATCTCTCAAGAAATTGGCGACAAAAAAACTGAGATGGACGGACATTATTGTCTCGCTCATACATATATGGACTCGATGCAGTTGAATGAAGTGTCTCAGAGTATAGATGCAGGCATGGCGATTGCTACAGAGCTCGGAGACAAAGAAGCTGAAGAAAACTTCAAAGAAACTAGTTCTATTCTTTATGGATGTGTTGGTTTGGTTGACAAGCGTAGTATACCCTCAGTAAATGATTTCTTAGAGGTACCAAAATGTTCTGAAGATGAGCTGTTACAGGATCTTGACCAAGCGGTGAAGACAGGCAATAAAAAGAAGAAATCCAGAGCTTTCATGAGGCTTTACAATTTTTATCGTTCTAGAAAAGAATATGACAAAATAATCAATTGCCTTGAGCAGTTTAAAGAGATGAACGTTGATTGTTGTGTGAACTTGTTCTGTATCACAGAAATGGGAAACTTGTATCATTTGATGGGTCAGAATGACATGGCTTTACGGTGTTTCAAACAAGGGCTACATACTGCTGAGTCTTGCTCTGATACTGGGCAGCTATCCCAATTCTATTATGGCTTTGGTCAATTATTGTGTTCATTGAACAGAGAACTGAACTTGGCAGAACGTTATCTAAGAAAAGCTATACGATGCTTTGAAGCGATCTTTACCACACTTGGTAGTCTTGATGAATTCAAGATCTCCATATTTGACAAATATGTCGATAGTTATAAGCTGTTGACAATATTGTTAATCCAAGGCGATCAGATCGAGGAAGCGCTTTTAGTGTTAGATCGTTGTCGTGCAAGAGCATTGAAAGATCTTATGATGTCAAACTTCAAGATGAAACAAGAGGAGAGCAATGATGAACACCTAGAGTACAGCGATGTTTTGTCTCTGGTCTCAAGAAATGACTTCAGCATTGTCTTT